ACCATTAATATTAAGTTTTTAACACATGTAAATTTTACAGAATTAATTATTTGTTGATTTTATACAATATACAATTATCGCCAATAGTGTCGTCAAAAGTTATTAACTAATAAAGTTAATTAACGTGATATTACATTATTTACAATAGAAAATTATTAAAATTTCATGTAACTTTATAGTTGATTAATTTTGGAAGTATTTTCCAAAATTAATTATTTAAATTAATTAATAACATTTGAATTATGACTAATTTTTCATATTTGTAACGGTTTTCTTCTAATCTTAATATGCGATTATTAAATTAGTTATCTAAGATTTCTAAATCATAAAATTATCATTATCAAGTATTAACTTAATATTTTCGTTTTATATATAGCTTATTGTTTAAACAAATTATTAATTGTTTATTTATTAATAACAGTTGTTATTTAGCTGTTATTAATGAAACCAATTCTTACTCATGTTCTATGCTTATACATTTTACATATAAATTATTTATATTTTTCTAATATTTCATATGTTAATAAATAAATTAACTTTACATATTGATATTCATTATTAATTTATAATTAAATGAGATATTGTGGATGTGCATGTTAAAATCTATATAATCGATACTTTGTTATATTCAAATTATCTATAATTAACATATTTTTCTCAACATTATGGATCATTATATCTATGTCTATTATTTGTGACGTCACGCTGTTTGACTCGACTCTTATTTGTATACAGTCGCGTAAACAGTGAGGTAGCGCCGCTTAATGTATTGTTTTAACTAAACAGATAAATACGTTAGAATAGTTGCAGTCATTTAATAAACAGCTCATATATAGGACCGTTACAATAGCGTTCATTATACTTTAAAATGTAATGATTTTGAGTTTTTTGTAAAACCGCATAAAAACATTTATTATGAATAAAAAAATTTTTTTAGACTCCTAATTATCTTAGAAATACTATTGTGGTTGCTAATTGAAGTTTTTTTATTGCTAATAGTTTTTTCTATAATCTTATAACGCAATTACTAGATTAATTGTTTAAGATTTATAAATTATAAAGCTATCATTATTACGTATAAAATTAACGCTTTCGTTCTATATACGACTTAATGTTTAAATAAATTATTTATTTATTAATAACATTTTATTAATAACATTTATTAATATTTATTAAATTATTTATTTATTAATTGTTGTTAACCCTTAAGTTGCACACCTTATTTTGGCCACGTGACTGCTCGGTGGAGTAAATCTACCCCAGCCCGAAAAACATCAAATAAATCAGAGAATTTTAGATATTTTGCTATGAAAATTTTTTCTAGTATATTTCAAATCTTTTACTACAAAAAAAATATTCAGGTTAACAATTTTTAATGTTAGACACACTGAAAAAAATTGTTGAAAAAAAAAAAATTTTATTTATTGTTAAACATTGTCTGGGGTAAATCTACCCCACATAGCAGTTAAGGGTTAAGCTGTTATTAACGAAACCAAATTCTTACTCATGTTCTTCAGGTATTCATTTTGAATATGGAGTATTTACATTTTTCTAATAATGAATATTTATTGTGTAATAAACAAATTAACTTTGCATATTAAAATTCATTATTATTTAATAATTAAATGCAATTCGTATTATTATAATCTAAATCTATATAAATAAATAATATCTAATTAACATATTTCATTAAAATAACAGAAACTATTATATCTATATCTATAAGTATGTGACGTCACGCTCCTTGTATGGTCATGAAATTAGACTCTTGTAGACGATCAAATAATAGGTGAGGTAGCGCCGTTTAATATGCTCATTGATGTAAACAGATAGATGAGTTTAACGGGTTGCAGTGATTCAGTGAAATAATAAACTAGCTCATAGATAGGACCGTTACATAGCCCCCTCTTGAGACTAAATGATCTATAAGAAAGAGGTCTCATGATTCAGTTTTTTATGAGCTTTATTATTATTGTCTTTGTTTGTTTTTTTTTGTTTTATTTTTTATTTATTTATTTATTTACATTATTCTATTAAAAAATTTCCTGGGGTAGGAGGTCGCTCTGGTTGTGTCGAGGCTATATTCTTTCTTAATTCTTCTATCCTTTCCTCCATCTTGGCAATCCTCGCAGCCAGTTTCTTAATTTTCTTTTGCATCCTGCGCTTCCGCTTCCTTAAGGTGGTTGGTAAAAATATGGAAGGCACAGGAGCAACTGGACGGGGCACACTAGATGGTAGGAAAGGAATCATGGATTTTTGTTTGTTTTCTGCCTTTGCCATCCAAGAAGGCTTGGATGGTGTCTTTGCACAAAGACCAATGCACCGTGTTTTGCGATGGCTCAAAAATTTTAGATGACGGAAAAGGAATGTAGTGTCTTAGGTCAGACGTATCAGTCTGTGTTCCTTGACTTTTCCTCATCTTCAAAAATTGTTAGCTCACTTTTTCCAGTATTCACATATATCAAATCAATATGCAAATTTGCTTGAAGAAAGAATGTATCCCCTAGTGGCTAAATTTGGTACGGCTTTAATAAAGATGTATGAAATACGCCTTTATCTTTACCGTTCTTGTATCTTAGTAAATACGTATCTAAGCCAATTATAGCTTTGATTACATACGGGCCTTAATATAAGCTTAAGAAATTTTTAATTATTTCTTCTTCTTTGTTACTTATATTTTGACTCCGTAATAAAACATTGTCATTAATTTTATATTGATAATGATAGATATTTTTATTAATATTGTTTGCATGTTTTATAAGTTTTAAGTGCATTTGTTTCTTTATTCCTTCTATTTGATTATAATCCGTTGGCACATTCGTTTTGGTATCTGGTATCCATCGATGCCAAAACCTTTCCGGTTTAATATGAAGGTGTGCTTCCATAGGAGTAATTTCAATTGTTTCATGATACATACAGCTTATTATTTGTTGTATTTTGGGAATTAATGGAGCCCAACCTTTATGGTTATTGTTGGCATACGCTCTTAAAAATCTTCCCAGTTCTCTGTAAATTCTTTCCACGATATTGCTTTAGGGATGACAAATACTAGAAAATATTAACTTTATATTGTCAGATGAAAGTTTCTCTTTCTATGCTTTTGCTGTGAACTGTGTTCCATGATCACATATAATTGCTAATGGTTTTCCATAGTTGGGTATATAATGTTCAAAGATCTTTTTTATAGTTGTATAGGTAGTTGATCTTTTTATAGGATACATTACTACAAATTTACTAAAACAATCTATGGTTGATAGAATGTATTTAACTCCGCCTCGTGAAGTAGGTAATGGACCATAGAAATCTATCGATAATAGATCATTTGGTTTTTCAACAAGTATTGGCTGCATTATTGATGATATCTTTTTTGTGTAATACTTTGTGCGTTGACATAAATCGCAACGATTTATTGTTTTAGTGATTTTTTTACGAAGCTTGTAAATATAAAAATTTTCTTAACACCTTCCTAATTTTTCTTGATCCAATATAACCATAAACTTCATGTATTTCTTGAATTATTATTTCTGGTAATAACAATTTATTGTTAACTTCATCTTTTTTATATACCAAATTGTTATTAACTATATATCTATGATCAAAGTTTTCTTTATTTCTTAACTTTTGTATATAGTCATATTTTTGTTGAAATAAATCAAAATTCTTGAAATGTTTAATCAAATCTCGAAAAGGATCTTTCATCAACATAGCAATTTGAATTTCATCGGTGTAGTCTTTGCTGCAGTCTGTTATATGTCTTGATAGAAAATCAGCGGATTTATTTTTATTACCTGGTAAATACTCGTACGTAATGTTGTAGTCTTGAAGAAACAAACACCACCTCACTAATCTCGCATTCGTAAAATTACAAGTAAATTTACGAAGTAAGGAATATAATTTACGAAGTAAATTTACAAGTAAATTTAAAAGGAAAAAGTTAAATTATTCCACTGTGTGCTGTCGATCACCTCTCGTTCGTCTCTGCTGCTCGCTGCTTTCAAAATTTCCAAGTGTTGGCTGCAAAAGATGGCCGCGTGCGCTCCCTATATCAGGCGAGTATTCTCGAAAAACAAATTCTTTGGCTTGAATGTGTACTGAACAAAGAAAACTTTCCAAAAAAATATGGGTAAGTGTACCGGCTTATAACTGTCCATTCCTCTCTCAATCAGCTGCGCACGCCAATCACGACTTAACCTTTCTCTCATCGTTCTTCGCTCTTCACCACTCCTCTTCGTTTCATTGTACAACTACTCCTGTAAGTTAATTTTCTCTAATAGATTCAACTTTAATTTTAGTTGGTCGAAAGGCATATCAATTATAAAGTTAATTTTACAATAATAATCGCATAACATTATTATTAAATATAAACTCACAAAACCTAGAGAACAGCTATATTACTACTTCGTTACGCAAGCGTGTATATGATTTAATATTATCATTGGATTTATAATTTCTGAAAGTAAGTGTCTTGTATGGCTCGAGCGTTTCAAGTAAGAGTTTTCGAGAATATGACTTGTCTCGCCACTGACATTTCTTTAATAACTTTATTTTTTCGAATTTTGAGTCGTACTACATTTTCTCTATGTTTCAATTGTAACTATTGAAAATAATATACAGTTCATGTATTTTCTTTTTTTTCAAATTTGTAAAATATGTAAGAAATGCAAAATTTGAAATATTTTGAACGTCTGCAAAACTTTTCTCTGAAAACGATCTATACTTTACTGCAGTATGTTATTTATTATGTCTGATAAATCCAATTGCGCGTATAAAATGATTTTATAATTTTATCTAGTTTACTACAAAGGATTAAATGATTATTTTTTACGTTTATTAACAGTACTACTCGATTTGTTCAATATGATATAACGAAACTAAACTTATCTTATCAATCAAAACTAAATAAATCCGTTTTGATATTTTCAATTTCTTTCTTCATTTTAAAAATAAAAGAAGTAGTATTATACCAAAAATCACTGACTAATTCTTTTCTAACATTACAGGTGTTCGAGCAGCACCATTATGGGATAGTGCACAACAGCAGTTTGTAGGTATGTTAACTATAACAGATTTTATAAAAATCCTACAAATGTATTACACAAGCCCATCAGTGACTATGGAAGAACTAGAGGAACATGAACTTGATACGTGGAGAAGTATGTTTAGAATTTTGTTATATTGCTGTGCAAATCTATCATAATATTTTCAACGCTACGCAAATAATTAGCTTTCATGTTCATTCCACTCCCTTTATGTAGTTGATAAAGATGTTCAAATTTAAAATTTATCTTTAGGCATCATTTTAAATATTGCAATTTTTTAAGTTTTTTGAATATTTGGAATAAGAATATTTTTTTTATAGAATAATATCTTTTGTATAATAAAAAGCTCACATACACACACACACATACATCCCCGGGCAATTTCACGTCAAGGCAGTCGAACAAAATTTTAAATTTTTTGTAATTTTACCTTTTGATAGTATGTGTATTCTAGAATATGTTAGAATATTTTCACATTTTTGACACACGATTCCAATAATTAATAACCATAATACAATTGCAATTTATGCAATTTTTCAAAAAATTCAAACTTTCATGAATTTATTTAACTATGAAGGACCGATTTTCGATATGGAAACATGTTCATACAATTTATTTTATTTGTCATAAAGATACTAAAAAGATTTTTTAATTCATCTAAAATTTGCATCTGCAATTATTTCATATTTATACGTAAGTTATATTTTTAAGAGATGAGTGTTTGATATGTAAATTCTCACTTATTCTTTCACCTTTTCATTCTATTCGTCAAATCCTTTCCAAACCCATTTTACTTATACTAGCTATCATATTCTTTTTAACCATATTGGTATTTTAAATATTGCGTGTATTGGTATTCCATTTCAACCATATCAAATATTTCTCTCTAAATCTGTTCCATTTGAAATTAAATTACGTTTTTATGTGTATACTTTGATCTGAATATCAATTCCAAATTACGTTAGAGCATGGTATTCGAACTATATTTACATAAATACTCTGTAATGGAGTTATCCTGTCGACACTAATAAGGTTTCCCGTGATCATCTGCACAAATTATTTAAAGGTGGAATTCGGAAGACGCAAACGCTCTCACTATTGAATATTGCGCCGGATTTATGGACTAATCGCGCACAAAACTAAATTTAGAATATGGAAGGGATCGGGTTTCAAAATAACTAAAATGACACACACTTAACGTTAAGGTGTTTACTCATCAAACTCGACCTGGCACTATTAAACAAATTAAAAATAAAAAACTATTTATCCACACATGCGCAAGAGCATTTTTTTTTGTAAAGAAGCGAAGACAACTCGAGGTAGTCTCAGCGCATATGCCGCACAAGAGAGAGAAAGAGAGAGAGAGAGCGCTTACGTGTTTAATTGACGATAGCAGTAGGTACGCACGAGTGTTTATAAACACGTGGCTTGCGATGGAAAAATTGTCGTAGAATAACTGGCCTTAGCACCTCTTAACTAAATGCATAATCAAAATTCTTGTAACGCCGAGAGAATAGCAAACGAGGAGTCAACATAGTGCGCACGGCAAGATAGTGTACTGCTATACGTATATAAACACTTTATTTATTTATTTATTTCTATTTTATAATTGTAATTATATTATTGATATCTTTTCGTTATTAATTTATTTCGTTATTATTTATTCGTTTAAATTGATTCATTTTAGTTTTCTTTTGTAATTACGTTTTTTTAACATCAAATTTCTTTATCTTTTTTTTTCTTTTCTCTTACCTGTTTATTACAAGTAGTTCATATTCATTTCTTTTTGACTAACAACAAAATAGACTCCTTGTACGATAATTTTTACTAAAAACGGTACGTTGCTGTACAATTCTAATTAGTTTTCGCTGACAAACAGTTAGCAAGGGCTGTTAGATAGGAAATTTGTAAGCGTTTAATTGCGCAATCCAGCGTGTCTATGAGCCTTGCGTTTATATAAGGCCAAAACATTTAAAATTCATGGATAGCATCAATATTTTCCTTTTTCACATAAACAGTAATTTCCTTATTCTTCAAGTGGCCAAAAATATATAAACCAAAGACTCACGTCCGTAGCAAGAAAAGGGTACCGTTCCATTTTGAATAGACTTAAATAGTATATAATACCGCTGTCTACTAGGAATAACATATAAAAAGTATTCAACGATATGGAGTAAGAAATAACTCAGAATAACTCAGTGGATAGAAAATCTAGAAGAGGAACAATTAGACCATGCACTCGCTAAGTTAGAACTAAAGAATACAGAGAAGCGTTAAAAAAAGGCCATCATGTTAAAAAAATGAATATTAGATGAGTATATAGCCACTGACTTCCAGGAATCAACATGTACAGATTCAGCTGAAGATCCAAAGCGCCGATGTGGAAGATGCGAGCGCAATAGAGGCCAACTGTTACTCTCTTAACAGAGGAGCTTAACCGCAGATGATAAAAGTGATTTAGCTCAATCTGCTGAGAGCATAGGGAAACTTTACTCCAAGCTGAACGACAAAAACAGGCATGCTAGTACTAATGACGGCAGCAAGAAGATCGAAGTATGACGATCTAGGCAAACGAACTCACGGAAACGAGCAACAAACCCGTGTACTTATCTGAAGAGTTAATCTCACAACGAAAGGTACCCAACCCGAACTTACCGATTTTGATGATTTTGATACATATTGTAGAACATAAAAAAATTAGAGACACGTATTTTTTTTATCGGCTAATTTTCACTTTTAAGGGGTAAAAACCTCCCCTAAAGTTAACCCCCAAAAAGCGTCTTTTTAATATCTCGGCTTAAAATTAATATTTTTCAATGAAACAAATTGGAGGTTATTTCTTACAAAAGGAGCAAGTATTTTATGGTGATTTGAAGAGTAAGGGTAGCATCCCCTATTTTTTAGTGGTTGAAAACATATATTTTTTGGCATAATTTTATAATAAAAAAGTTTAAACCGACTAAAAAAAATTGCAAAAAATGTTTAAACATCCATAATAATAAAATTTAGTTGACATCTTTCGGTGTTTTAATAAATATTACCCCTAAGGTGGGCAAACCACCCCTAACACAAAATAACTGTAAATATGTAATTCAATACATAATATTTCGTAGAAAGTTTGTATATAGAGGTTTTCGAGGTCGCTGATTACAAATCTGATATGAGATTTTAAACATTTAAAATGGCGGAACCAATGTGGTGGACGAAAATGTCGAAAACAATTTTAATTTTCATAAACACTTGTTTACAAATGTGTGATCTTTGTAGCCTGTACATGTGAACTAAAGAGCCTTAAACCCTAAACTCCTAAACAACAAATAGGATAAATGGTTGTGCTTTTTAACCAAACGACTCCAAACCCCTAACCTTGAGACAGGCCGAAGGCCTATACTTTACCGTAGACACGAGTATAGACATATTACCGATATTTTAATCAATCATTTTGTATGTAACAAATAACGTCTCGTTTTATGTTTCAATCAAAGATTATTTCTTTTTCTGCTTTTATAAATTAGCATAATTTCAAAAGTAATTTCATAAATTTTATAATTATATAATTTTATAAATTAAAAACTCCACACTTTTTTGAAAATGAAAAAACATAGGTTAATAAAATTCGTTTATCAACCTCTTTTGCGTTTTGTAATAAATTTTAATGTTGTCAAACTTAGGAGTTTTTCATTGTTACAATTATTTCGTAAGCCAAAAGTTTTTTATATGAATTCTCGAAGTAATGATTATTCTATCTATAGTAAAATATTTACAGTTTGGAATTCCATAATAATACTATTTGATACGATTTAATGAATTTATCAAAAAATCTAAATTCAATAATAAATATTATTCTCATTATTATTATTATTTTTCATTGTCATTGCTACTATCAGTATTACTGTTATTATTGCTATTGCTATTCTTATTTTTTTCTTACAAGGAGTTGCGGAATCCTTTTTGCGGATTCCCCTTAGTCTTTCTGACTAAGGGGTTATGTGGAACTCCGCGAATTAAAAATAGGCCTACCCACTAAACCGCCATCTCCTTGGTGTCCTTCCTCCAGCCAGGGACTATGTTGATATTACTTCTGACTGGAGGCTCTGTCTGTGTTCGTCCATTAGTGTCGTTTCTCCGTATCTCGTTACGTCGCGTCACTTCGTCTGCTCAGCCATCTGTCAAGCAGCCGTCCGCAATCTTACGTCTCAGTATAGTTTCCGTATAGGTAGCGACTAAGCGCCACCATTTGGGTTCACGCAGCATCAGAGCCACGAAGTTATCGGGGGTGATGCTGTCGACCGTTTCTTCCAGTTCCTGTCTGAGTCTTGTCCAGCGGTCACACGGGAAAAACGTGTGTTCCGCGTCGTCTCGTTCGTGTCCACAGTACTTGCAGTCGGGTGTTCGTAGTCTGTTCATATTGTAAAGGTACTGTCGGAAGTACCCGTGGCCCGTCAAGAGCTGAGTGACGTAGAAATTTACATCACCAAATTTCCTTCCGAGCCACAGCCTCAAGTCCCGTATCAATGGTCTCGTCCAGCTACCACCTCGTTCCTCTGTCCATCGGCCTTGCCAAATGTGAATTGTCCTGTCGCGTTCAGCGATTGTCGCGTTCTTTCATCCTATGTCCGCGCTGCTCCCGTAGATCCTTTTGCGTTCAAAGGCCAGAACATCCACGTATAGAAGGATCGAGTGTTCTGTCACCATTAACAGTCGTCGTTTTCCCGATCTCGGTCCCGTCGTATTTGCCATCAGGCGACTCAAGGATGCTATCCTCTCTGCCGCTTTCCGGGTTGTTTTCTGTATATGAGGCCAGAAGGTCATCTTCGTATCGAGGGTTACCCCAAGGTACTTAACTTCCCTCTTGGTCTCCATCTTGCATGTCCCCACCCTCATGTGCAGTATCGTCTATATGCGTCTTCTCGTGAGAAACATCAGTTCCGTTTTTTCTGTTGCGAGTTGTAGACCGTAGTTTGTCATCCATCCTCCGACTCGTTTCATGGTCTGGTTCAACGCCAGCTGCGCCAGCTAGTGGGACCTCTCCGTAATCACCGCCGCCACGTCATCAGCGTAGGCGACGAGGGTCACTCCGAGCGGCATCCCAAGCCGATTATTATTATTATTGT